GTTTCCCCGGCGCTCGTGGTCCTGCTGGAGCCCAGGGAGCTGTCGGTGCTCCCGGTCCCAAGGGTAACAACGTGAGTGATGCGTTTTTATTGATCATCCGAGAAGAAACGGAAATAAAACTTACATTGAACGCGTGGTTCTCTGCCTACAGGGTGACCCCGGACCCTCTGGTCCTAAGGGAGAGGCCGGTGCCAAGGGCGAGCCTGTAAGTTTCAGTTTACGTTGATAAAAAAATAAAAAATAAAAATGAGCCACTTTGTGTGGTGGGAGACTACAAGAGGGCGACCGTTTTCTTTGTTTTCCAGGGACCCGCTGGAATCCAGGGACTTCCTGGTCCCTCTGGAGAGGAAGGAAAGAGAGGACCTCGTGGAGAGCCTGGTGGTGCTGGACCCCGTGGACCCCCTGGAGAGCGTGTATGACACCTCATTTTCTTCTTCTTCTCCAGTTTCATCAGGTCARCATGTTTTACGTGACATGTCTGTGTGTCTGGTTTTAGGGTGGCCCTGGTGCTCGTGGTTTCCCTGGTGCTGATGGAGGCGCTGGTGGAAAGGTGAGCTGAAGCGCTTGCTTCCCTCCTAACATGTCATGAAAAAAGCAGGAGGTGCTTATTATTCTAATTTTTCTTTCTTAGCTATAAATAAAAAAAAAGAAAAACTAAAATTAAAGTTTGGTTGTGACAATATCAATGAAAGGATATTTTTAAGTGTTAAATTTATGCTTGTGAGCKCTTTGAGGGACCATTTTCAAACGTAATCAAGCACCCGTGAGTCCAATCGGTCCTCAACCTCATCAGAAGCAAAGATTTTAGGCTCCTGGATGAGCAACCAAATCAAAACAAATCCAATCAGTTTTCTATTCTCCTCTGCCACTTGTTAGCATGACGTGCATTAGCTGCTTTCATCAAATARGATTAATTCAAGTCACGTTCCTGATCTCTAACAGGGTGCCCCTGGAGAGCGTGGTGCCCCTGGACCAATCGGACCTCAAGGAGCCACCGGTGAGTCCGGAAGCCCTGGTGCTCCTGGCGCTCCCGGATCCAAGGTGAGTTCTGCCAACAAACTGTAACGTTTCTGTTTGAGAAAATCCACCTTCTTTGACTGAACGTCACACTTCCCGTTCCTCTCAGGGTGTGACTGGTAGCCCCGGAAGCCCRGGCCCCGACGGCAAAGTTGGACCTGGTGTAAGTATTTATAGGGTTCTTCTCGGCTTGACAATAAAACAACGATATCAAAAAGAAAACTCTGAATTCGAGCGAGTTTAGCAGCCTTGTATCATTGGAATCCTTTTATTTCACATTCTGGCTGTTCTTGTAGTGATATTTTCTCCCAACAGGGGATTAAACTGTTCATGTCAGGAAGTTTTAAAATAAAAAAAGACCCTTCWAAGAAGCTGCAGGATCTTCCTGTCAGAAGTTAAAGCTGCTGAAGCTGGAGAGAATCYACTAAAAATGGTCCTCTCTTCGATCATCTGCAGGGTGCTCCTGGACAAGACGGTCGCCCCGGACCTCCTGGCCCCGCCGGATCCAGAGGACAGCCCGGAGTTATGGGATTCCCCGGACCCAAGGGAGCTGCTGTGAGTCCATGAAAGCTTTTATTCTTGGGTTTAGTTAGAGCTCTGCGTGGAAACAGATAAAGTGTGACTGTTTTTTGTTTCTGACAGGGTGACAGTGGTAAGCCCGGTGAGCGAGGACCTGCTGGTGCTGTTGGCTCTGTTGTAAGTAAATTTAAAAAAAAGCGTTTATGTCCAGATTAAAAGCAACAAAAAAAACCTTTGATAACTGAGTCATACTTTTACTCTTAGGGTGCTCCTGGCAAAGATGGTGATGTTGGTGCTCCCGGACCTTCTGGCCCTGCTGTAAGTCCTTCACCTGTCTTCACTGAGGGTCAGTGACGAATTTCAATGTTTCTCACGGTTTGGTTTCGATGCCTCGTTCCAGGGACCCGCTGGAGAGAAGGGAGAACAGGGACCTGCTGGTGCTCCTGGATTCCAGGTGAGTTTGTAAATTAACCCAACAGAACATTGGCTCAGTTTACATAATGCAAATTTACTTGTTAAACTTACATCTTTTAACTTGTGTTCAGGGACTTCCTGGACCCCAAGGAGCTACTGGTGAGACTGGCAAGCCTGGTGAGCAGGTATGAGTCCCGATGGTTGCTTCTTATACGTTCAGACTCTTCAGGTTCAGTGCAAATATATGTCAGAGAAAATTAGATTTARGTACAATAAAGCAATGAAGGTCATAAAAGGAACATCGTAATGACCCCGCCTCCTCTGTTCAGGGAATTCCTGGTGAGGCTGGACCCCCTGGCCCAGCTGGACCCAGAGTGAGTATCTTCAAACCGAGTTTTGAGGCTGTTCTGCTGATCAGTTGAGAGAACAAACTGATGGGTTTTTTTTTCTTTTCCTGCAGGGTGATAGAGGCCATCCTGGTGAGCGAGGTGGAAATGGCGCCGCTGGTCCCACCGGACCTCGTGGTGCTCCTGGACCTTCTGGTAACGACGGACCTAAGGTGTGTTTTAAAAGAAAAATTAGGTCGAATGTCAATGTCTACTTCGGTCTGGTAGAGCTGTCAGGTAGAAATGAAATTGCACCTGTTCGGCCAAAATTGCACCCAGTTTTTATTATTAATTATTTTGTTAAAACATGTAGAACTTTACATTCAGGGTTAGGGGCTGGAAGGTTGGTTAGGATTTTGCAAAACCTAAAAAAAAATTCAATAATCCCAATAATGACAGTAAATTTCTTCTTCTGTTTAGATTACWTTTGTTTTGTTTGGTGCTACAGATAAAAATTCACAATCTGCAACAGAGCGGTGCAATGAAAATCCAATCATTTTTACATTTATTATGTTTTACAATGCTGTTATATTGTCGTAATTGACTTTAAACAATAAACAAAACATCTAACTGTTCAAAATTAATATGACTTCCTGAAATGACAAATCAAATGCTACAGCATTGGTACCAGTTCTTCATGGTGATGCTGGTCTCACATGGGTAGACACGTTTCACACAAAACAAAACCATTGATTGTTATTATTTAAAATGCAAAAACAAGACCATGAAAAACTGCATTGTCTACAGCTCTGGCATCTATACTTATACTAATATGTTTAACTGGAACAATGTATTTTATTTATACAAAAACAAAGTGTGCAGGGGAGTAGGCGGGGCTTAAAACCCCACATCCCTTATGCACAGACTCTGGTTCCAAAAAAATCCAACATGGCAGCTCCCACAAACCAGGTCCTGCTGGTGTTAATTAAGAGAAATCTGGAGACATTTGCTTGATTAAAGTTACAGTTTGTGTTTTATTCACAGGCTCTTTATATGATAAACTAGAAACAAGACCAAAATGTGGAATTTGAAGCAAGAAAGTTGAACCCAAATCTGCCCCCTGTTGGCAGGCTACAGTATATACATACAACATGGCAGCGCCCATACTGTACAATGAAAATAAACAAGTCGTCCATCTTTATTTACAATTAATTACAAATATTTGAACTTAAACTAACTCTCSATTCATTTGTCAAATCTAGATTAGCCTTCCCGTGGAACCCGTCTTAATATTTATTATTATTATTATTTTGTAATTGTGCAGGGAGAGCCTGGTGCTGCTGGTGCCCCCGGTGGTGTCGGACCCCCTGGTATGCAGGGAATGCCTGGTGAGAGAGGAGCTGGTGGTATGCCTGGAGCCAAGGGAGAAAGAGTGAGAATCACAACGAAATTACACAAAATCCTTCAATAGCCTTAAGGAGTTGAAATCCCATTTTAAAAACCATTTCTCTGTGTTTAGGGAGACGCTGGTGCAAAGGGAGCTGATGGCGCCGCTGGCAAAGATGGCGTTCGTGGTTTGACTGGTGCTATCGGAGTCCCTGGACCTCCTGGTGGTCAGGGTGAGAAGGTAAGGCCCCCTTAAAATACATAAAATAATAATTTGKTTCTAATTTTTATCTTTTTCTAAAGTTATTTTTGGACTGTTTCATGACCATCCGACTTCCTTTCTTCTACTTCTGGTTTTAGGGTGAGCCTGGTGCTGCTGGCATTGTTGGACCTTCTGGTTCTCGTGGTGCCCCTGTAAGCCTTTTTTTTAACTCAAAGCCTAAATAAAAATCTAAATGAAAAACAAGAAACATGCATTTTACTGTTAAAAAGAGTGAGCTCACCTTCAYAAAATGACCTTACTGTTGACCCCAACAGGGCGAGCGTGGAGAGACCGGACCTGCTGGACCCGCTGGATTTGCAGGACCTCCTGTAAGTAGATTTAAAAAAAAATCTACTGCACCAACCAGATGACCAAAGACTTGAGTTTTGAAAACATGAACTTTTTTTTATCCTTTTAAATCAGGGTGCTGATGGTCAGCCTGGTGCTAAGGGAGAGACTGGTGACACTGGACCCAAGGGAGATGCTGGTGCTCCTGGACCTGTTGGACCTGTTGGAGCTGCTGGTCCTCAGGTTGGTTGGTCAACAAACAACATAAAATAAAATCACCTAAATGTTGATAATGATATTACCTCAAGGTGTAACATATTTTAAAAACTGGATGAAATGTTTCTGTCTGCAGGGACCTGCTGGCCCATCTGGACCCAAAGGTGCTCGTGGTGGTGCTGGATCCCCTGTGAGTACTTATTAACAATTTAAAAATTTGCAGCATTAAATAGCAATGAAAGAAAAAGTAAATCTTTAACATGACATATTTTACTGCAGGATGCATATTTTACACACACAGTATGGATGTTTTTAGGGTTAAATTAGTAGTATTATACATGAACAAATACAGTAAGCACATTTATGTATATATACCACCCACACACACCCACACACACAACTTTATGGATAATTTTTAGGGTTAAATTTATAGTATTATGCATTAATTGGGAAAATAATTTACTTTAGTTTTTCAATGTAAATTTGACAGAAACAATTTACAAAAGTGCAAATTTTAGAGATTGTCGATTTCAGAAAACTAAACTGATGTAGATCAAATTGTGCGTGTGTACCTGGCTTTGTTTTAGTGTTGACACCAGCTTCTGCAGAGAGGTGTTCTCCTCCTCCAGCTCTGTGTAATCCTGAAGAAGCCGTGACTCCCGAAACTTGTACTCCCTGATCTCCTCTTGCATTCGACTCCGCTGCAGCTCCAACATTTCATGACTCTGCTGAGACAGCGCAAAGAAAAAAGATGAAGCTGAATGCATTCATGCCAAGGCACTGGGAGGAGGTACAAGTTCATCTGTACCTCCCTGAGCTCCTGCAGCAGCATACTCAGGTGCTCATTGTGAGCCTGTGTGTTGGAGGCAGTGGTCCGGCTGTGCTTGAGCTCAGATTGGAGCTCCAGAAGGCGTCCCATAAAGTAGGCCTCCTTGGTGGCAGACTCTTGTAGTAGGGCCTCCTCATTGGTTTCCCCATCCTCGGCAACCTTACGCTGGGTAGAGTAAGCCTGACCAAATGCCTGAACAAAACAAGAGAGTAGAGCAATGAGGGTCTAACACATTTTATAACTAATACTTTAAACATTTCCATTTGATAATGAATGTGTTCATTGAGGCCTTTCATTAAATAAAGCCAGCCATGCACTGGATTGCATCCAGGTATCCATCACTATTGTCTGTAAACAGGCCATTGTACTTTATACCACATCTCCATCAAATTCAATGCAGCTCAAACAGAAAAACCAGTATAGCTTTAATGATATGTACATGTTGTGTCAGAATGATTTTTTAAATTGGGGATTTCATCAAGAAAAATAAAGCAGTGAATGAACAAGTTGTTTTACATCACCTACTGAGGAGTAAAAGGTGATGAGTCTGATTTCTGTTACATGATGATCTAACCAGTCTCAATGAAATCCTCCTCATTTCTTTGAGCCTGGTTAGATCACCAAAGTGTTCATCAATGACATAAAAACTTTACCATTTTGTTTTGTCATGGACTGATAATATCATAGACAGGTCATGGTCATGGTTTTGACACAATGTTTATAAAAGTAATATGACCGATGACAGTTTTTTTTTAGTTCTATATGTTGTTGTAATCCTTTTAGAAATGTTTACACAACACTGAATTAAAATATTCACATTTTATGATATTTTATTCTTGTTTTATTTGWCACAGTATTCAACGAAAAACATAACCAAAATCAAACCATTACATGTTACTGTCCCTACACATCCAGYTGACAAAGATTATCAGTTTTTAGGACGTGTAAACTTTGCTTTGTACAATAATGAAATCTTGGCGTTTGTGACTACTTTACTAAAATATATGTTCAACCATATTTAAAATCCCTGTTAAAGCCCAACCRTCAATATTTTACTTAAAGGCCAGATATATCCCTTTTTCAAAATTCCTGGTGATTCTCATAAATTTCCAATAATCTCTATGAAAAATGTCCAACTTTAAGCATTTCTGAAAATTTGAAACCTAACAGCAAAATATTTTAAAGACAAAAATAAACGTGAACACAATTTTAATCTTTCTTTAGGAAAGCAGTAAAAAAAACTGTGGTAATGAGAAATTTTTGTAAAATGTTTCACAGAACCAGCTGCAGAACTGCTTGAAAGGACAGTACTGTATGTGTGAGGCTGTTCTTCTTTAAACTGAAGTTTATAGTTAAGGAATCAAAAGAGACAAAAGCATTGATGTCTAAAGGAGAGTTTTGCTGTTCCAACTCTCCTTCACACACTGTAAATACAGAACAGAAAGAATAAACATCCAACAGGCCATCATCACAAAAGCAATGGAAGGCAAAAAAGTGTGTTCAGTAAATCCAAAACCTGCTTTATCTGATACTAGGGGTGAAAAAATACATTGATCCATATCACAATATCAATGAAATGATTCAGTTATATTGAGGCAAAACAAAAACATTGATCCACATTGTGTGAGGTATGGCGGTGAGCTTGGACTCAAGATGCAGGCACGACACAAGGAATCAAACTAAACAACTTAATAAAGTAAAAAGCTGATGTGGTGGCATGCATAAATAAATAAATAANTAAATAAAATAAAAAAAAACCACATTTTCTTTGCATACTCTGTCAGAAATTAGTAGTTTTGCACTTGAATGCAACAAATTTTCAAATTTGATTACTTGGAGCTCCGTACAATGACAATAAAGGCATCAATCAATCAATCAATCAATCAATCAATCAATCAATCAATCAATCAATCAATCAATCAATCAATCAATCAATAACCAACTTTCTTTTTAGATTTGCAACATTTGCAATAAATAACATCTTGTCAGTAATGCTTTTATTTGTGATTCTTTATAGGGTGCTACTGGTTTCCCCGGACCTGCRGGCAGAGTTGGACCCCCCGGCCCCCCTGTGAGTTCCATAAGGAAAAGATCTGATGAGTAAATTCAAACGGATCCTCAACGGTTTTTGTCTCATCGTAACTTTTTTGTTGTATTTTTCAGGGAGCTGCTGGACCCCCCGGACCCGTCGGACCCGTTGGAAAGGATGGCGCAAGAGGAAACCGTGGTGAGACTGGCCCTGCTGGTCGCCCTGGTGAGGCTGGTGCTGCTGGAGCCCCAGGACCTGCTGGAGAGAAGGGTTCTCCTGGCTCTGATGGAGCTGCTGTAAGTGATTTGATTACTTTTTTTTTTATTGGGCTGTTGTCATCCCACTGACCTCTCCATGTCTTCATACAGGGTGCCCCTGGTATCCCTGGACCCCAAGGTATCGCTGGACAGCGCGGTATTGTAGGRAGCCCCGGACAGCGTGGAGAGCGTGGTTTCTCTGGTCTTCCTGGACCTTCTGTGAGTGTTTGAGTCCAAAGCTTCATTTAGTCTCAAAACATTCTGCTTCTCTACTCTGGGAGACAAACAAAATTATAAAATATTTGCTTTCATTGAGCTTTCTTGTTTTTCTTCAGGGTGAGCCTGGAAAGCAGGGACCTTCCGGCCCCGTTGGTGAGCGCGGACCCCCTGGACCTGCTGGACCCCCCGGTCTGTCTGGTGCTCCTGGAGAGGCTGGCCGTGAGGTACGCCGTGTCCGCCTGCTGTTCATTTAGCTCATTGTGAGACTGATTCTATTAGTCAGACATAATCAACACAGCGACAACTCTGCTCCTCCACAGGGATCTCAAGGTCATGATGGTGCCCCCGGTCGTGACGGATCCCCTGGCCCCAAGGTAGACCCTTTCTGCTGGACTTGTTTCATCTTATTTAGATCCAAAGTTATGGCTAAACATCAAGCGTCCTCCAAATGTCTCTAAAATGAGACTTTAGCTGTCTGGATTTGTCTCACCGGGTGTGTGCTTCCTTAGGGAGACCGTGGTGAGAGTGGTATGCCTGGACCCCCTGGAGCTCCTGGTGCTCCTGGACCCCCTGGAGGTGTTGGCCCCTCTGGCAAGACTGGTGATCGCGGAGAGAGTGTAAGCCTCCTCCTGCTTCATACACTTTTTTTTTTTTTAAATCAAAATGAATAAAACGTGGAAGTGAATCTTTTTACAGTAACCTCTTTCTTTTTCCTTCTTTAGGGTCCTGCTGGTCCCACTGGTCCCTCTGGCATTGCTGGACCTCGTGGCGCTCTTGTACGTTTTCAGCAATTTTACTGCACAAAAGTCTCAAATAAAACTGTTGGGTGCAAYCGCGTGACGACACATGTGGGTTTGTTCAGGGCCCTGCCGGAGCTAAGGGAGACAGAGGAGAGAGCGGTGAGGCTGGAGAGAGAGGACACAAGGGACACAGAGGACTCAGTGGCCAGCCCGGTCTGCCTGGACCTGCTGTAAGTGACCTGCCATTCTTTAAAAAACATTAAAGTGGCACACATTCCCAGCACTGARATCTTCTCCCACTTGTAGGGACCTGCTGGAGAGAGAGGACCCGCTGGTGCCTCCGGACCTGCTGGACCCAGAGTAAGTTTAACTGTTATTTAATGAGTAGTGCTAGCATTTAGCAAAATTAGCTAATTCTACAGAGTTTGCACCGTTCATCCACATACTGAAGTTATTTGGTAAAAAAATAGATTTTCACAAATCTACCATGAGGAAGACTTTTAAAGAGTGTAATTACTTGACAAACGGACATTTTTAGGAGTGATTTTGCAGTCTACTTTTGTCACATTTGCTAATAACTCCCACAACAAATACAACAACACAGATGGTTTACTGAGAAACTGAAAAAATGTTGAACAATGTCAACGAAAAACAAGCTACAATTGGTTGGAAAAACAATGTTCCTGCTTTTTCCAAGTCTTCTTCATGTTTGTGCCACCTGCTGGCCTAAATTAGGTATTACACCTTGGTTTTCCTTTCTCATTTGAACAAATGGGAAACAAATCTGTATAAAAATATCTGGAGTTGTGTAATCAAGATATTACTTTTTAGAAATAAAAATAATAATTTTTGCAATAGACAGATGTGATTGTGCATGCCTTCCATTTTTTAGTCGCACAGTGTCAGTTAAAGGCTAACCTAGTGGACTGATCATTTGTTTTTTGTCCTTATAGGGACCCTCTGGAAACCATGGTGCCGCTGGTAAGGATGGTGCAAACGGTATGCCTGGACCAATCGGACCCCCTGGACCTCGTGGTCGCAACGGAGAGATGGGACCTGCTGTATGTACCGCTCCTCTTTTTAAAATGCTCCTCATCCAACGCCTGCTGTATATTTGGAATTCTAAAATTCTAAAAATTTGTTTCAAAACAGGGTCCTCCAGGACCCCCCGGACTCCCCGGACCTCCTGGCTCTCCCGGCAGCGGATACGACTTCATCAGCCAGCCCCTTCAGGAGAAGGGTCCCGATCCCCTCCGTGGGGGCTACCGCGCTGACGACCCCAACATGATGCGCGATCGCGACAGTGAGGTAGACACCACCCTGAAGACCCTGACCCAGAAGGTCGAGAGCATCCGCAGCCCCGACGGTTCCCAGAAGAGCCCAGCCCGCATGTGCCGCGACCTGAGGATGTGCCACCCCGAGTGGGAGAGCGGTGAGTCCCGGTTTTCATACGCGAAACCTCCGGCTAAAGATGAGCTCAGCTTGAAACTCTTTAATGCTCCTCCATCACAGGCACCTACTGGGTTGACCCCAACCAGGGCTCTTCTCTGGACGCCATCCAGGTCCACTGCAACATGGAGACTGGCGAGACTTGCGTCTACCCCGCCGAGACCAGCATCCCCATGAAGAACTGGTACAGCAGCAAGAACATCAGAGAGAAGAAGCACGTCTGGTTCAGCGAGTCCATGACCGGTGGATTCCAGGTGAGAGCCTCACGAGAACCTCAGGTTTCGTTCAAACTGTCCCGTCAGGAAGTGACATCACGCTTTGCTTCTCTCCGTCCCGCAGTTCCAGTACGGCAGRAACGAGGCTGATCCCGAGGACGTCAACATCCAGATTTCCTTCATGCGCCTGATGTCCAACCAGGCTTCACAGAACATCACATATCACTGCAAGAACAGCATTGCCTACATGGATTCTGCCACCGGCAACCTGAAGAAGGCTCTGCTCCTTCAGGGCTCCAACGACATCGAGATCAGAGCCGAGGGCAACAGCCGCTTCACATACAGCGTCAGCGAGGACGGCTGCACGGTAAGTTCGCTTTCCTGCTTGCTCCGGAGCTTCCGGTTCCATCCCATTCACATTTCCACAGCGGTATTTGTACAAATATTCACAAGTTTTTCTGTTTTTTTCTCCTCAGTCACACACTGGCTCATGGGGCAAGACAGTCATCGACTATAAGACAACGAAAACAACCCGACTGCCCATCATTGACATTGCTCCTATGGATGTTGGTGCACCTGATCAGGAATTTGGCGTCGAAGTTGGCCCTGTTTGCTTCTTGTAAAAAAATGAAAGAAACATGGACATGACATTGTTGTTTTTTTTTCTAGCAGTCATCTCTAAACCTCTTTTTTTCCCCTCCTCCTTTGCAATCAAAACTCATTTGGRTGCCATTGGTCCACACGCTTAAAACCACTCTGCTGAAGACGGTGTTTATGTTTTTTTTCCATCATAAGATTTTTGGGGACTGCTACTTTGAACCACAAGGACACTTTAAAAGAAAAAAATAATCTTTTGTTTCCACTGGCAACTAGAAAATAATGTATACTGGTTTAAAAATTTCCCCATGGACATTGTGAAAAACAACAAAAAGAATCAATGAAAAGGTGACTTTTGCCATTTTCGACCACTGCAGAAGGACATTGAAAACAACAAATGATATGTACCATTTTTCTGGTGTTAAATAAATTGTAAAAAGTGTGAAGTGTCTTGTGGATCTAAATTCATCAAACAAATCAAAGACCAACAACAAAAAGCAAGACAAAGAAGCTCACCTTGTTACACGTAGATGGCTACCTCATAGTCACCCCCAATTGTTTTCAATGAAAATGGTGTATTTGTACACGAAAAAACGTCTTTCGGGGAAGAATTAAAACATTTAAAGGTGCTATTACCAACTCAGTGAGGTCCAGTTATTGGTATTTGATGCTCGAACTTTCACTCTCATACTGTAATGATTGCCACTCATGCCTGCAGAACGTTGGTGCTACAGAATTGACTTGTCTATGCAGTGCAATTGTTTTCTTCTTAAGTGTTGTCAACAGAGGTTCTCTAAGAAAGCTGGTTGTTGCAGATGCAATGCATTTGTAGATATAAGCACTCCATTTCAGTAATATTTCCCTGCTCASGTTTCGCTGTTGATATTTTATCCGTTTCCACCCCCCCGTGGAAAACCCCCTCTTCACTATGACCCAAAAACAACCCAACCTATCACACGTCTCCCAGTTTGTTTATGTTGTTTGTTGATGTCTTTTCGCAAAAGTGTTTCTTAAAATATAAATTGAAGCAGACCAACTTTCATGGTTTTAAAAGAGAGATTCTGTACTRATTTTGTACATGTATAATAAATCGAGATGTTTTTAATTATTTTTGGGTGCTGAAATAAAGCATGTGAAGTGGTCTACTCCAGTGGCAGAGTTTTCACTGTCCTGTTTGGCAACTGTTGGAAAAAAAAACTTTAATGATTCTTACTGTGTGTGTTTATATTTAGGTAGCGAGGCTTTATGTTTATGTTTGGAAATCAGCAGTTTCCACGGCAGTTCTTACTAAATACAGTTCTGTTAAGCAGCAGTGAAAACAAGGCCGTCTAAGACTTTATATTAGCTTTTAGTTGAGCTTTCTGCACACACACGACTCGACTCAAGTGCTTCCGAGTTTCAAAAACAGCCGAATCTTYTTTGAGAGCTCAGCTTATCTTTAGGAGAGGACCTGCTCCATTATTGTCTGTATCGGACCCTCATAAACCTYTTCAGGGTCACAGGGAGGCCGGTGTTTATCCCAGTGATCAGTGGGTGAAAGCTCGGATAGATCGCCGGTTCATCACTGGGTCAACCAGGAGGCAYACAGACCTGAGGTCGGTCAAGTTTTTGGACCGTCAGAAGAAACAGGTGCACCTGAACAAATCTCAACGTCTGCTCMGGGAGAAACATCTGAACTCTGAAARAGAAAAGGTCAACCCAGGATCCAAACCTTCGGCCCACTTTCTAACCACGACACCTCCAAACAACCTGTCTGAATTCAATAAAAATACCCAGGTGACCTCTTGTGGAAATCTGGTGCAACAGCACCATCATCCCACAGAAGATGAAAAAAAGTAACATTTTATTCTAACCCACCAGTAAAGGATGTTTTTGTGTGTCTGTGTGTCTCATGGATGGAGTTTATTGAAACTTACATTAGGTGAACGTCTACATCTGTTTATCATTTGGAGTCAAACGGATTAAAAATATTTGGTCGCCAATTGATCTTAAAAAACAGAAAAATGGCAACAATTAAGGTTATTTTACAGATACTGYTGTWAAATTAGCTGTGGTAGTAGCTGAGACTGACTCCCAACTCATTCTGAGTGCTAGCAGATTATTCAGGAATTGTGTTATTTTAAAGCAATTTTGTGTGGCAGTAGTTGAAAGTCATTCAAAACAAATAACCCAGGTGCATGTGGTCTTTGCATAAAACTTTAAAACCATTTTTTATAACTGATAGTTTGAAAAGTTTGACTCTAACAACCAAAAGGTCTGCCCCACTGTCCAAAAGGCAAACCAACTAACCAAACTAACCAAACTAACCCTAACCTAACCCTAACAAAACCAAAGGCAAGGCTAACCTGTTAAATAGGGTTAAATAGAAAAACAGCTTACAAAAAACAGATAAAAACTGCACACTATTCACTTATTTATTTCAAAGAAATCAAAAGAATAATAAAACACACTTGCCTCACTGCTAAAATAGAAGCAAACAAACACTCAGTGCATCAAAAACACTTGATCCATTGTTTTACTTCCTGTAAACACAAAGAACACAAGAATCATGAAAAATGTTGAAAAGATTGAAGTCAGTGCTTTTTTTTTTTTTTACCTTGGCAAAGTGTCGCTGTAGGGATCCCTGTGAGGAGAGAGGAAAAATGAAATTATTATTAAAAACATCTGGCAGAAACACTGAATCGAAACTGAAAGTTTAATAATTAATATTGACTAAAAACTAAGGAGGACTGAAACTGACATAATTAAAAATAAAAGCAGAAATATATAAATATATAAAGTTTTAGAATTTAATAGATCTTAATATTTATTTTTAAAACTTAGATT